CGCAGCAAAAAATTATTTTACGAACAAGATACATATCGCCATAAAACGAAAATACGAAACTAATTTATCTAGTAGGCCGCCATTAGCGATACTGACAATTAAATTGGAATCAAGCTGTCAGTTTGTAAATTTTTGAAATTGAAGTAATACTAATTGTGTATTGTTCTGTTCTTAATTTGTTACTTTAATAATTCACTTGTTATTAAAATGGCATACACAAATGAGGAAATGGCTGATATGCATTACGTTTACGGTCTGTCGCAGGGGAATGGGTTAGAAGCTTCTACAAGATATGCTGAAATGTATCCTCAACGGCAGCATCCTTCACATAGAATATTTGTCTGACTTCATCAACGATTACGTGAATATGGTTCATTCAACAAAAGAACGCAGGATTGTGGTCGCCATCGAGAAGTAAGAACACCACAGCTTGAGGCAGCAGTACTTAATTTGATAGAAGAACAACCTACTACCAGTACTAGAAAGATTGCTTTCCAGCTAAATGTTGATCATATGACGGTATTTCGAATTTTAAAGGAACATCTCTTATACCCTTACCATCTGCAACGAGTACAGGCACTGTTACCGCGAGACTTTCCGAACCGTCTTGAATTTTGCAATTGGATGCTGGAAATGATTAGAAGAAATCGTGACTTTCTGAAGACGATCGAATTCACAGACGAATGTAGTTTTTCTCGGGACAAGATTATTAATTTTCATAATTACCACATATGGGCTGATGAAAACCATCACGCTATTGTCGAAACTAACCATCAAGAACAGTTTTCTCTTAAGGTGTGGGTCGGAGTTATTGGGGATTATTTAATTGGGCCTCATTTTCTACCTCCTCGATTAAATGGTGAGGCATACGTTCAATTTTTAAGAAAAGTGCATCCCCCCGTACTGCTGGAGGAAGTTCCTTTGGGCGTCAGAAGGGATATGGTTTTTATGCATGATGGGGCTCCCGCCCATTTTAGTCAAGTAGCACGTCAGCATTTAACTGAAACATATGCAAATCAGTGGATAGGTCGAGGAGGACCACAGAATTGGCCCGCTCGATCCCCGGATCTCAATCCTCTGGATTTGTCTACTTGGGGCCATTTGCAGCATTTGGTTTATCGTACTCCTGTTCGCGATGTAGAGGACTTAAGAAACCGCATTATCGATGCGTGCAGGGTAATTAGAGAGACTCCAGGAATATTTGAGCGAATACGTGGCTCAATGCGCCGACGTCTAGACGCATGCGTAATGTCTGAAGGTAGACATATTGAACATTTACTATGATTTCTACATGTTGTATGTTTTGTTATTATTAAATTAGTTTTGATTATTCCCCTTTAATCATTTAATGCAGGTAGTAACTACAAAATAACAGTAAATCCAGTCCGCATTTATGACGATGTATCTCTGTAGTTGTTCGTAAAATAATTTTTTACTGCGAACTGGTTTAATTTGGGCAAAAAATTCAAGAGACATTTTTTTTTAGAATGAAACAGGCTATCGGAAATAAATTTTTAAATGGTAAAAAAATAATAAGACAAAAAGTTACGTTGGAAATAAATTTTAGGGGTTGCGTTTTCCACCCCTTACAACCATGGGGTAAACCAAATAAATTACTGGCTAAGTGTCTTTTTGGTAGTAGAAAATGTCAGGTTAATTTCAATATTGTAACTTGTTTAGTGCTTGTGAAAAAAATTGTTAAACAAATTTTATGTACCCCCTTTAAGGGGCTGTATCTTAACAAGGGATGCTCCAATGAAGTTTCTTTATATGAAAGATCCTATCTTTTTTTCGATGAGGAATCACCCCCTTAAATGTTTTACACTTATTTAGTTACACCCTGTATACATAGGTGTCTATCATAAAAAGCTAAGTTCTTAGTAAAACCTGCAAAGGTTTTAAGAAAAAAAATTGTTAAATGTTATAAAATTAATTCATTTTTAAATATTGTACACCGAGTTGCACATGTAGTTGTATTTATTTATTTACTTCATTTTAAAGATAAAAAATCGAGTAAAAAATAGTTCATACTGACATTGTCCACAAAACCATCTTTTTTAAGACACATGATATAAGCCTTGTTTGTAGTAGTAAATCTTAAACTAATTCAAGCAACACGCATAAGTGGAGTATGAGTTACGATAAAATTATTTTAATATTTTTTTCAAGATACCAAATGTAGAATTAATTAAAAATTTATATGCAAGTAGGTACATTAAAATAGGGGTTTTTCATACTACAAACAAATGTAAATTAAACTACTTTGTTAATATTAAATATATAAAGAAAAATGAAAGGAAATAAGTTTCATCTAATAAGACAAAGTAACATAAAAAGAAGCAACAAAGTTAAATATGAAAACAAAGCTGCTTATCTCTTAAACAACAAAAATATGTTTGGTTTGATAAGAATTTGACAATTTTTTCATTGTTTCATTTTTCAGAAGTGAGAAAACATCAAAATGATTAGATCACAATAAAAATGCTGCAAATAATTTCAGTGGATATATATAACAAATTATTTATTAAAGAAAACCAACATTATAAATTTATAGTTTTTCTAATAAATCAACTTAGGATAAAATGAAACTGAAAAAATAAACTTTAATCTATCATTATGGTGACTTCATTATATTTTCCCAGCATCTAAATATATATTTAAAAGGTTCAAAGCTATCTCAATAGATTTCAAACTGATTTATATGTATTTTCAAAATTTTTATATATTCTTTAATTAGGTATATCCATTTAACGAGCGTTCTACCCGAGGGGTATGCCACTTCACAAAAGTTGTACACGTATTTATAAATACTTGGATATTTAAAGTATTTATGGTATTTAAACGTATTTAAAGGTAATTGTAAATACCCTTCAGGGATTTAATTGTATTTATCTACTCCTATTAATTTATATATTAATTATTCAACTGCTTTTGAGCAATTAATAGTATCAATAAACAAGTAGCGTGAGTTTTTATAGTGAGTTATTATAACTCACGCTGGGCTTCTACAATGATAATTCGGTATGTAAATAGTGTACGCAGTAAATTCTTGGAAATTTTTAAGCCGATAAATACGTTCCATTGGTGTAAAATGGAAAGAATTTTTAACAAGTGGAAAGGAATGAATAATTAAAAGATTTTAAAATTATTAAATTGCCAACACCTCTCAGTAGGCGGAACTGTCAATTATTATCATTGAGGAGACTAATGTCATTTGATATTTTAACAAAATAATTTTGACGTTTTCAAATCAATTTCTAGTAATAGTCCTAAAAAAGATGAATGTAGATAGCGAAGAAGAGTTATTATGTACACCTCCAGAAATAAGAGAAGTAGTTAATAATGCAATACAGAATTTATTACCAGAAAAATCAAAAAACAAGTATAAAGGTGTATATAAAAATTTTCAAGATTGGTGTAGCAATAAAAACGTTAACTCGTTTACAGAAAATGTAGTCGTAGATAAAGTATAGTATTCAACTTGCGGTAATGGTCATAACTCACTTGACGAATTACAGCACTCGCCTGCGGCTCGTGCTGCAAACTTCATCTGCGTGAGTTATGACCTGCATTACCGCTCATTAAATAATATACTATTAAATCTAATTATAAAGATTTTAATGTATTTCTGTATAAATAACAGTATTTCAAGCATTTAAGTGTAATAAAGTATATTTAATAGCATCTAGCTCTAGTAATTTGCTAAAAGTCGTGATTTTTTACCTAATTATCTGAAATTATTTTCATATGAAGGTACAATATTTAGGACTACGAAATTTTAAAAATAAATGCTTAGAATGTAATTATTGTAGAATTTATTACAATGACCTGCTGATGTTTCAGAAATTATTTTATGATTTTTCTTAACCACATTAATCACTTAAAACCCTAGTAATTAAAATTTTTAGAGAATTTTGAACCTACTTTCTGTTTCTGTTTAAAAACTGGCTTTTTGAACATTTAAGGAAATGCAAATAATGATATACAGTAATGCAGAACAACTTACATAGCAAAGCATGTAAAAATAGATATAAATAGATAATTAAAATGTTTTTTTTAAGGTTCTTATATTTTTTTTAATATTGCTACTTTGTCAAACCTTTTTTTAAAAAAATGGTGAATTTCCTAATAAGTTGATGGGCTCATAGAAAATAAACTTTTCCCGAACTACCTGCATGTCTTCGTTTGTTGTATTGATCCAATCCTTTTTTAAAAAACTTTATTTTAACACCATTCTGGTTTTCAATTATTCGTCCTAAAAACCAGTCTTCTTCATAAAATACTGCACAGTACTTTTCGATTTTTATACATATTTTTTTCCCTGTCACCACAAGATTTAAAAATTTTTATTTATAGAGCAGTTTTTTTAGCAACAACTGATTTACAATAAGGATCTAATAAATATATTTAGGTTGATTTTTAAAAAAATGATTAATTTATATTGAATATTCATTAACTTATACGTTTGTAGGTATATGTACTCGTATATGTTTACATTTGCCTAAAATTGAGTTTAAAAAATATTGCAAAAGTACTTATCTTAATAAAAAATGTTCAGCAATATTGGGCAAATTGTAAACTTATAAACACATATCCAAGTGTAGTTAACCATATTTACAAGTATTTAATTTAATTTAATTGTATTTAAGTGTATTTAATGGTATTTGAAAATATTACAATGTATTTAAAAGTATTTTAAGTATATTTAGATATATTTAACTGTATTTATATGTATATAATGGTATTTAAAAGTATTTAGAACAAAACTGTACACGTATTTAAAGAGTGGCCAACCCCTCGGTTCTACCCCTAAATTGTGGTTGAAAAATAAATATAAAGTCTACCTAGGTATGCCTGCAAAACAAACTGTAAGGAAATTTCAGTTCATGCAGTCAGGGAAGTCTAAGGACGTTGAAATAAGTTACGTAGAAATCATAGGGGGGAAATATGTAAGGATAGATTTAGCTCACAAAATTTATTAAACAATTCAAAAAACTAACCTCTGAGAAGTCCCTCGTTTTGTTCCTGAATTTTGGACAGGTCCGCTTTCTGGGACCCATTTCCGCATATTTTCGAAAAGATACTTTCGGACCCCATGTCTAACACTTAATTTTAAAAACACTCACTTGGTCAGATTCACAATGCCACTATGAGGTTCAAGAATTAGATTAACAAAATGACACTATTTTATATTAATAATTTGCTTTTATGTTAAATTAAGTTTAAGTAAATGCATACAGTCAAAATGAACACTGAATGAAGTACTTTTTCTTAGGTTTTGTGTCCAGCACAACAAATACGTAGCTCTCTGGAATTCTAGGTTGCAAAGTATAACTTTTTCTACACTTTGCCCTTCATCTAAAAAAATCTTCAGGTTTTTCTGTGTCTCAAGTGTTTTTCCATATAACCTAAAATGGGATAGATGGTGTTAATAATGTTCGGCTTTTAACTAATTTGTTTGCATATATTATTTAAAAAATCTAAGTAATTATCATATTTTAACACAAGAAAGAATTATTTTTTTAATATATTTTAAACATGTGTATCCATTGACAGCATACCTTTACAAAAATTACTTATAATATGTTATATAATGTGCTAATATTATGTTTTACTTTTTATGCTGTAACCCAAGGTTATACCTACTAAATTTATGAACAAAATTTTTGATACCTTAATAATTTTAAAATTATAAGCCGGATATATAACGTAGAGGTATATAGTTCTATTAGTAATACAAAATCTGATTTTTAAATGATTTGAAGTCACACAGAACGATTTCAAGTTGTGTTAAAATTTCTCACCGACCATAGGCAAAATGAAGCAAATAAAAATATTATAAGTTAAATATACCTACCTTAACTTCAAAAATAAAATCAACCCGGGGTGAAATGATATCAAGTAAATGTCATATATCCATAATATAGACTTTTTAGCAATCGATGTCAGTCGCCAGGGTCATTTTTTGCTCGATAACCAATGCTAGATGTTACAAAGGCAGATTCGACATTGTGCATCTTATTGGTACAGATCCCACTAATTTTGTCCAAATTTATAGCACTAAACACTTTAATATATCTATTATAATCACTAGTATACATAATATTTGGATTAAAAAACATTAATAAAAAATAGAAGAAACACTATTTAAGTACTTGAGGTCTTTTGTAGACTCTTTTTACACTGATAAGTCACAAAGGAAATTTTAACCACGTCAAATTTCCGCGAAAAAAATTAATTAATGAAACCTAACCTCACTTTTCTGCGAGCACGATTCAAATATGTAACTTGATATTACTAACAGTCTTAGAGCTTCTAATAATTCGATTTAATATTAAAAATTTATAAATCTTCATTTTCAAGCAGTTCGAAAATGCACCAGACAACACTTCTGCTCTTCTTGGAATTCTTACACAAAAATTTATAATTTTCGACAGCTAAATGCAAGATTATTTTAAACGAATTTTGTAAGGTCGCATGGATCTTATTCGCGTAAAACTTTTCAAAAATTGGCTGATTTTTATCTTCTGTATTGCACAAGAGCCACTAACACAGATATCACACAGCACAAAAATGGATATTCATCCCAGAGCAAAACGAAATGACTGATGTGTGACGTATTACCGCTACCGCAATTAGACGATAGATGCGATGACGAAATCAGTGATGCCAGATGAGTAGATCTGAAAATATGTAGATGTCACGCAGAAATTCCCTAGTGAATATTATAAAGGCAATTTACTACGCAAATTCGTAAAGAGGGGGCAACACTGCGAAATTTAGAGAAGGGAACAGTTTTCTAAAAAAAAGAAAACAAAATGGGTGACCTAGTTTATCATATCTGCATCTATCAAAAAAATATTACAGTTTGAAATTCGATATTTGCACAAAAGCACAAAATTCGTAGATATCATGGAATTTCCTATATCTCTAGCTTCGGAAATATGGTACAATTTCCTCCAGAACTAGAGAAAATCCGTAAATTTGGCATCGCTGGGCGGACCTAAAATTTTTAGACGAGTTGTGTGCATATCGTTCCATGTTCAGAGGTGGCGCTTTCTAACATAGATTTAAATAGCATATAATCAAAGATCAAATCTGAGCTTCAAATTAAATAACAAATTACATGATATTTCATAACATGACAAACGAATAAATTGATTAGATCTATATAGAGGAACAATTAACTTCTCGGTACCTATTCTTATAAATATACAGTGTATTGTGAATATACAGGGTGTCTCAGAATAACGTGTACAACGGAGGACCACAGATTCGTGGACTCAAAATAGGCAGATTTACACTAATTCAGTTCGTGAAAATTTTTTGAATTTTGTAAATAACTCGAATACGTATTAATCGATTTTGATTATTTTTGGGGTGTGGACTTTTACTTTCAATCTACACATTTTGGTGTTATATAGAGCGTTTTTTAAAACCTGCAACTCCTACAAAATTGATGTATGGTGATAATATCTGGTCATAACTTTTTCCTCTTTCGGGCAATAATGACAACTATTTTTTATCTGATAGGTGATACGATTTGGAAGTTTTTGGGTCCCTTGTAGAATTTTGATTAAATGAACGGTTTGGGTACAAAAAAATATTTTTTAAATATCTACATTATCGTGCCACTCATATTATAATGATTAAAAAACTGTTAGTAGGCACTGATTTTGTAGGTTGACTGTAATTTCAATCTGATCTTTAACTCATTGTACTTGACAATTCTTAGTGAGACCTGTTACTTCATTTTTTGATATGGATACACACACATAATTAGAATTATTTACAACATGCCTAATTTTATTCAAAAAATTAGAAAAAACAATCAAATACACCGCATTGATAGCATTATTATTGACCCTGTTATTCTACTCAATAGACTCGCATCAATGACGAATTTTGTTTAGAATTTTTGTTAAACACTTTACAGTTATTTTAAGGTGTGCCGTTATTGCTCAGATCTAACATGTGGTTTATACATGATGGAGCTTCACCACATTTCACTGTCAATGTCCGGCAGCATCTGAACCAAAGATTCCCTCGTCGATGGATCGGTAGAAGGGATAATGTTACTGTTAACTGGCCTGTTCGTTCACAAGACTTAAAACACCTTGCGACTATTATCTTTGGGGTACTTTGAAAACAACAGTGTGTGTGTATACTTCCACATCTAACAGTGAAGAAGAGTTGTGGGAGACATATCCAAATTGCCCTAAATGTTTTAAAAAATTGGCCTCAAAAAGTGCAAATGGTGTCCTTTATCCCACTAAACACGAAACGTAAATGAAACGTTGCAAATGAGATGTTTTACTAAACATTTGAAACATTAACTAGAAACGTTTCTGTTTCATTACAGAAATGTAGCACTTGAAAACTTATTTAGTGAAACATAGCCGAAACGTTACAATTGAAGAGAGTTTGAAACATTACTCGAAACATTCCCTTTCGATCTCGGAAACATAACAGACGAACAACCCTTTGCTATTTTTGCTTATCTTATGGAACATTCGGCATTAGTTAAATTTTGCTCTCAATCCCCAATCCTTCTCAAGCGTTAGTTCATTTGCCTTTGTTATATAAAGACATAATTAGAAAAAAAAATGTGGTAGCATATTTATAACACAAGTCTAGAAAAAATGTATGTTCGTGACTTGCGTAGACTGCGCGTAACAGCCCGAGTTTATTTGTTTCCCGTGTGTCGTTTCAATTCGTATTATGTTAGGTTAGGTTTGCGGTTTGTCAGTTTGCTTGGTTTCGTTGTTATTCATCTTTACTTTGACGCTATTTTATGTGATAATTTGTAGTGTGTGCAGTTGTGGTTATTGTAAGGTGCATATAAAATAATGAATATTGATGCAAAATGTTTAAAACGATATGTGTGTAGAGATTTCCAATTTTGCGTCACATCTACCTAAATATAGTTATACCCACTACCTATTACAGACAAGAGGACAAGGGACAAGAACTAAGAAAATGGAACAACAACTATACGTTTCGATATAATTTGAAGAGCAACTACTTAGTCAGTGAGAACTATTTGAAATATGGATGAATCAAGTGAAATAGACGTCATTTATTTTATATTTTGTACAAATGTTTATATTTGTTTATGTGTATAGGCATGCTTAAATAAAAGAGTTTAGGTATACCTACAGATATTTACTTTGTCAAGATATCATTTTGTATCCTTATTTCTGCTGTATAATTTATTATTATTAAAAGGATATATGTAATATTGACCATGCGTAGAAGAAATTATAACTTTATATTATTTTTCAGTAATGTTATTTGTTTTTCATGTACCTACCATTTCAACATTCATAATCATAACTAACTTTTTCTAATTATCAGTTCGTCATTGTTACCATATTCATGATGGTCTCAACATTAGAAAATTTCCATTTCAGAAGCGTATTTGAACAATATAAAATGTGTAGCTTTTTTTTAATGCTTCTGATATTGTTTTGTGATATTTTTATTTGTACGATGAATGGCAAAATTCGTAATCCATATTAGAAACTTTTTTCAGTGGCTTCTCAAAAAGAAAGAAATTCTTAGTAAAAGTTGCCGCATCCCCAAACTAGAAGAGCATATTTATTTTTTTTAATATACAATGTAACTTTTTTTAGTTCGAATTAAGTCATTCACAATACAAATAAAAATATCACAAAGGAGTATTAGAGATATTTAAAAAAATACTCACACTATTTATACTATTTCAAAAACGCTTTTGAAATGAAAATGATCTAAAGTTGAGAGCATTATGAGAACAATATGGTAATAAAATTATTATGTTACTCAAACATTTCTGAAAATATACTGAAACGTAAAACAAAAATATTGAGGGCATAAATGGAACATGAATGTTACTGAAACCAATTTTTTGAAACGTTTCATTGGAAACGTATTTTGGGGAGGACATCTTGGGCTTCTAGAACGTTACTAGAACGTTGCATGGATTTTTTATGGAACGTTTCAAGAAAAATGGAAACGTTTCTGAAACATGTCAGGAACTGAAAAATGTTTAGTGGGTAACTTTCTTCGCCGAATTAACCTTTGTTGTAGAAACAACGGTGGTAATTTTGAACAGTTTTTGTTGTACCAAATCTAATAACATCAACTTTGTTACTTTTGTCTCCAGCATTTTTTATTGTACTTGATTGTTTTTACTAATTATCTCAATAGAATTAGGCATGTTGTAAATAGTTCGTCGTATATGTGTATGTATTCATATCGAAGTAACATGTATATTTTATCGTAGTAAACACTCATTAAGAATTGGCAGGTACAATTACTTACAGTCAGTCTACAAAATCAGTGCCTATTATTAGCACTGTTAAATATTGTAATATGGGTGGCAAGATAATGTAGACATTTGAAAATATTTTTTTGTGTCCAAACCGCTCATTTAATCAAAATTCTTCAAGGGGCCCAAAAACTTCCAAATAGTATCACCTATCAAATAAAAAATAGTTGTTATTACTGCCCGAAACAGGAAAAAGTTATGAACGAATATTATCACCATACATCAATTTTGTAGGAGTTGTAAGTTTTAAAAAACACTATGTATAACACCAAAGTGTAGATTGAAAGCAAATGTGCAATAATGGAAATCTAATAATACGTATTCGAGTTATTTACAAAATTCAAACAATTTTCACGAACTTTGAGGCCATCTAGCGGCCAAACAAAGCGATTTCGGATATAGGTGAATTAGGCTAAATCTGCCTATTTTAAGTCCACGAATATGTGGTCTTCCGTTGTACACGTTATTCTGGGACACCCTGTAAAATACCTAAATAAACTATAATAAATTTATTTCGTCAGTTCAATATGCTTTTATCTTTGAACATGGAGGAGTATCTACCTATATAACTTTACCTTTGTGCATATACAATGATGGAAATTTGTACTGGACTAAATTATAAAAATTAATAGTTAAAGTAATTAATGAATGAGATCAAGGTATTTTTCGAAAATTTGTAGATATTTCAATTTATTAGTGCCATTAAATGACAGTAAAATAAATATAAACATGTCGAAATAATAATAATATAACATTGGATTCTTTTACAATTTTTTTTATAATGATAGGTATACGAGTTTGCATCTAAATATAAAAAACTCTTTTCATTATCTGTTATTAAAAATAATAATATGAATAAATCTTTTTTATTTATCAGTAATGTACGTAAGCGGGGAACAATCTCGTTATACAATAATATGTGATGGATGTGGTGTGTATAACTGGTTGCCTATTGTTTTGGATAATGTTTGCAACTTGGATGTTTATAAAATTTGATGTAATAACATGGAATAAGATGTAAAGGAAATATTATAATATTCTTTAACATACGATTTTCTTGAATTATCCAAACATTTAATTTATAGGATACGTAAGTACAAAAAACATATATTCTACATAATTAAATATCTCGAAATATGTTTGACGTAGAAATAATAGTTGCGCTGGCGGTTTAACTAAATAGCTAAAGTAAAGGCAAAAATTTACTGAATACAATTATATTATTAGACCGTTTCATTCCGAATTATATTTCAAACCGTTTTATTCGACAATTACAATTATTACATAGTTTTTCTAAATCTAAAACAA